AGTTTTTGTTAGAGGGTGGTTGGAATGTGTGGGTTTGGGGGGGGGGGGGGGGGGGGGGGGGGTAATGGATTAGTAATGAATATTTATTTTTTTTAAGAATGACAGCATCCATAAGATTTTTTTTTCTCCTATGCTTAAATCCTTGTCGTTCCCATAGTAATGATATTTTGTGTGTCTGTGTGGGCGTTCAGATGCCTGTGTGTGAGGAAATGTTTAGGAGACTATCTAGGAGGTTTTTAACACAAACCTTTCACACGATTTTCAACAGCAATTTAAAGCTCCCATCACCAGCGTAGTGGTTCCTGCTGACAAATTCAGAGGAGGTTCACCCCATCGCAGATCTTGATTTATAAGAATAAGAACATGTCGTCCTGTAATTTTTAGGTCTCTACATCTTTCGTTATTATGTCTTCAAATGCCTTACTGTTTTTAAATAGTATAATTATGTCAAATTTTGGAGAGCTTTTTAAAATGATACAGGGTTCCCTTTTCCTCTAACTTTCCAGTGGGTTTACCCTCTGTTTGTGTCCTGCTTAGATCAACTGTGTATATATGTTATTTCATCATCTGTGCCGGCTTCTTGCAATCTTTCAATCACACAAAAATCCATGTTGATTAATATGAGCGCACGGCTCTTTCTGCCTTTAAACAGAGGGCGGTAGTCCCGAGTCTCGCATCCAGGCCGTCCACTGTTTGGTCCACAAACTACCAGAGAGGAATCGACAAGTCCTCGGGCTACTTATGAAGCATCTGGCCAAGTGAGTGGTCATAGTTCACCCAATCTCCACCTCCTCTCTCTCAGTTCTCTCTTTCTGCTCTTCGTGTCTGTCTCCTCGTTCTCACTCCACATGCTTTTTCTCTCCATCTCCCTCACTCCCACTCTCTTCACTCCCCCTTCCCTGCTGTCACTCCATCTCTTCTCAGTCTACCCAGTGACTGCTGGCTGACAAAACTCACTTTTCTTTTGTCTTTTCATGGACAAGTTTGTATATTCAAAGTTGTATATGGAAGTTTATTGTGCCTGTATCATACATGTTGTCGTCCACTTGTGCTGCCTAACACAGAGGTGAAAAAAACAAACCACTCAAGTCAAGATTTCTATTAAGAGTATGTTATACAACACTCAGTAGACCGTAATTATGCATCACTGTCTTTGGTAGATTGGATTGGAAGACAGATTTAAGAAATAATATAAGCTACCATTACAAGGTTTTACCTCAGCAAGTTTATTTTTCATAAACTAAATTTGAGTAAATTGAAGATAAGTAAATAATCCTTCTTCCCTGAGGCAGTTAGTCTGGTGGATCATATTTCAATGAAAACCTGCTGCAGAATCAAGCCCTGGTAAAAAAATAAATAAAAGCCTAAATAAATAAAAAAGGCAGTGCTACTGAAATTGAATTAGGATTATCCAGCGTGAAATTCTCCAGACTGGAGACTTGTATATTTCTTTCTGAAGTTGGCGTGAGTACATGTCCTGCAGGGGAAGGAAGCAAAGCCAGAATTTCACACTCCTATCTCAGATGGTTTCATAGATGCTATAAGCACGAATTATCACTAACGTTTTTGTCTTCAAACGTATCGTTTGAAGTAATTTAAATAGTCTCTGCTGCTGTGACACATACCATCCTATTTTAAGTTGTGAAATCCCTTTACATGTTCAGATAAGTTGAAATAAAGGTTTCATCCACTTTTTGACACCTAAAGTACCATCATTCAGGTCTCTCTTGTAAATGAGTCCTCGAGGCTCAGTGGGATTAATTAACCTGTCTAAATAAAGGTTGAATTAATGAAAAATCTACTGAAGAGCAAAGGTGGAAATTCCATCTAATTGTTTTTTTTTTTGGGGGGGGGGGGGTAAATGGGGCGTTTTCTTAAAAAGCATTTTTTGAGGATGTCGCTTAAGATACAGTCAAATGTACAGTTGTAAAATGAAATAAAAATTAAACATCCATTATCGTGTTCTCAAGGTAGACAAGCTGAAGAAATTAAGCTAACGAGATGTGAACATCTTTCTCCACCTGCTCCTTTGCTAATTTTTTGTCCCCATTGATTCCAAGTAGGTATCTCTGCAGACCCAAAAGGAAGGCGTTACTCGAGGGCCACATCTGATTGGACGATAAAAAACAAGGCGTTAATCGAGGGCCACATCTGATTGGACGATAAAAAACAAGGCATTAATCGAGGGCCACATCTGATTGGATGAAAAAGAAAACAACAAGGCATTATTGGCAGATTGTGTTAACCACAGACATATTATATCTATGGTGTTAACTGGTTCGACATTGTCAGCGTCTCCATACCTTCTCTTTCTGCCTCTCTTAACACAGAACTTCCAGTTACATTTCAAAATAAGAGCAACATAACTGGGTAGTGGGGAGGGCTAAATGTTTGTTTTTTAATACCTAGCCATTACATTAAAAAACAAAATCCATTTTGGTTGTTGAATAATGTGAAAATGGTTACAATCAATTCATAAAGAAATAAAAATAAAATGAGCAAAATAACAATGATACTTAGACTTGCTTTGGGACAAAGGATGTTATTTTTAACTTCACATGTTCTTGTTCAACCTGCAGTCACTGCAGATGAGTGATTGTCAGTTTCTGTAAGATTTCTACAACTGAAGCAGGTGACTTTGAGAATTACCCATAATACCTTGCTTTTTAAGGGTGAATGCAGTACAACAGGTGGACAATAGTGTTTGCCCCCTAGAAACACCTATTCTTTAGGAACACCCACTTCTGGTCTGCAGAGAACCCCTTTGATTCACTTCCTAGTCACATGGTCATGTGACTTTCACCAAAAGCTTATCATTATTCTTTTTTTTTTTTTTTTGCAAAACTATTTAAACTATAAGAACATGTTGCTAAACAACTTACATGCATCCATACACAATGATAAAGCTCAAAAGGAAAAAATAATCACAACCACAGAGCATGTATGCGATGGTTTGATGTTGCCATGGAAACATGTAACAAAACTCTGCCATGATCACTAAATATTTTAATGCACTCTAAAGAGCAAATAATACTGAGAAATTGTCACTGACAAAATACATTAAACACATGTTTAGTTTTCCACAGTCTAAAGCTTGTTTCAAATCATGTTGAAGATGGATTTAATTTGGGTTCAATTGCTTTTGTGGTTGTTTAATAATTGTCACTGATCTGTTGCAGTTTTACAAGAATTTAAAGCTCTAAATAAATACAATGTTAACAAGCAGAATATATAATCCAGTTGAAAAATCCACTAAAGTTTTTGATTTTTAAAAGGCATAAATGCATCATTTTGCCTATACAGTATAAATGGTGGATGTGCTTCCTTTTCTTTATATTTCTTAAAATTAAAGTTTTTTCAAACTATTTATTGGGGTGTTCATTTTTGTTTTTCCAAAATTAGGGGTCCAGACCCACCGGATGCCCCCTGGGATTTCCTCCCAAGCTAAATACGTCCTGGTTTGAAATGGATGTCAAAGATATTTACGTTTCCAGATATTTATGTCTTACTCACATTTTATCATTGTGGCTTATCCAGATGAGAATGGAACAGGGGTTTGAATGAGAGCGATCCCATTCACTTAGTGTCACAGCACTGGCCAAGTGACACAAAGTGATCACTTAGATCATTTGTAAAATCACCTAACCCATTGTATTTATGTGGTATGCTTGTGATGAATATATCTACGTATAAGGGATGATTTGCCAAGACATTGTGGATTAGGACGAGTGAGGCTATCAATAACCTGGCTAAAATTGAATGACAAACAATATGCTTTAAATTTGTCAGACCCTAGTGGTGAGAGCTAATTTAAATTAAAATCACCTACCAGAATGATTTATTTAAAGTGTAAGTTAGATTAAAGCTGTATTAAGGATAATAGGGTTTTGGATGTGGCAGATCTGTAGCAGCCAACAACAAATAATGACTGACCACCAGACAGATCAATACTTATTCTAGTGCTAAGATCTCAAACACCAGTTGTGCTGTAAGACTAGCTCTAGCATAGATTGCCACACCACCTCCCTTTCTTGAAAGATCTGAACGATAAATATTAAAGCCTTTAACTGAAACATCTTTGTCCAGAATAGATTTAGTTAACCAAGTCTCAGAAATGACAATAATATCAGCACCAATCATTTCCTCAGCATATCTATTTTTGGAAGGAGGCTACGAGCATTAATGTGCAAAATATGTAATTCCAACGTATTTTTAAAGTCTACTGGAGTACTACTGCTTGAGATGAGAGGACGTTTTCAGGGGTCGCCACTGTGAGCAAACTCGCACAAAGATTTGGCAGTTGTTTTATGCCAGATGCGATTCCTGACGCAACCACTGACCATCGAAAAAGGGTTGTAAGCTCCATCATCCAGGTAGATAACAATAAAAAAAAAGGTTAAATCGTGTCAACTGGACCAGTTTCTTTAAATGAGAAACGTTTTGTCCCCCATCCAGAGGACTTCCTCAGTGTACGGCCTGCCAACCAGATCTGTCCCATAGGTAGCCTTCACTGCTGTGAGTAGCAAGTTGGCCATCTGGCCTAAAACATTTGATTGTTGTACATGATGATTGATTGGTTTGGATGAGTGTGTTTTGCACGTGTTAAAAGCCTGCTTTAGAGATTCCAACAGGAGGTTGGCTTGAAACACAGCAGTGAAGGCTACCTATGGGACAGATCTGGTTGGCAGGCTGTAGACTGATGAAGTCCTCTGGATGGGGGACGAAACATTACTCGCTTAAAGAAAATGGTCCAGATGACACGATTAAACCTTTTTTTTATTATCACTGACCACTGAGTTGCCACAGCTCACGTGTAGAACAAAGGGCTTCCATCTAGGGCGCCTGGGGGAGCAGATGGTTGGGGGCCTTGCTCAAGGGCACAGAGTGGAACAAATGAGGGTGTAGGCAGATGTGAGTGATTCCCCTTTCCCACCCACATTTTGATGTAAATGATTCGAACCGACGATCTTCCGATCACAGGCTCGCTTCTCTAACTTTTGCGCCAGCACTTCCTCGAGTGCCAACACTGTGCATCGCTACATAAACTAACCTAATGCAGAGTTTCACTTAGGAAATTGCATTGATTTGATGTGTATTTGAGCGAAAATGTTCATAGTGTCATTTATCATCAAATCAAATAAGTCCCATCTTTGGTTTGCTTTAGTCCATTTTGTTTCCAAGATCATGAGCCTTTGTATTTGTTGTGCTGTAGCTTTATCCTTTTTTTTTCCTGAAAATATAATTTTTTATGAAGTCTGATTAAAGTGTTTTTTTATTATATTTTTTTTTCCTTAGTGTGGCAGCTCACAGCAAAATGAATCTGATGACTGTGGCAAACCTAGGCGTGGTGTTCGGCCCCACGTTAATGAGGCCACAGGAGGAAACCGTCGCTGCCATTATGGATCTCAAGTTTCAAAACATTGTGGTGGAGATCCTTATTGAGCACCATGAAAAGGTAACTCCCAGAAGCTGTTTTACTATTTCTTTGGAGCTGTAACTACTCTACTTCTACAAAGTATTGTTTTAATACAAGAAAAAAAAACCTCCAGGGAAGTGAAAATGTCTGCTTATAAAAATATATATTTCCTAGGATATACATTACATTTAATGAATAGGCTTTCTGTCATTGCATTGTTTGATTTGTACCAAAAGTCTGTTTTGACTGGTTCTACTTTAACTGCACAGACTGAATCTAGTGCACTCTGCCAGTGCAAATTTTGTTTATAGTTGTGTTCCCATCTGCCATCCTTAACCATATTTACTGAAGACACTGTGTCGCAGCAACACAAGATGAAACTGAAAGTACAAATAGAAATTTGAGGTGACATACCAGCAGTAAGCTGCGTCTTTGTTTACAATCCCGGGCGGCAGATAATTATGTGATACTGAAACATAATGATAATAATGCAAGCAAAACAAAATAGGTTTTTAGGCTCTGCTGTTTTATACAGGTTTTTTTTACAGTTATATTTTGTATTTTACTGCTAGATTATGACTCGGGGTTTCCCATTAGCAAGGAGAAGCTCAGACATCTGAATTTGGTGCTTCTTTAGATAGAGGTAGTGAATATTGAATGTTTTTTTTTAATACAAGCATAAGTAAACCTATCAGACTTTTCCCTTAAATTCCTGGGACAGCATACTTTACAGATAATACAAGGCAGACACTTCCAACCCTGGTCCTCAGGAGCCACTGCCGTGCATGTTTTGGGCGTTTTTCTAATTCAACAAAGCTGATACAAATGATTGAGTTCCCCCCTCAGCTTGTCATCAAGTTGTGCAAAAGTCTGGTAATGATCTGTTCATTTAAATAGAGTTGTTAAAACAAGATCATAACTAAAATATGCAGGACAGGGCTCTGAGAATAAAGGTTATGGACTAAATATAAACTAGGCAGTTGTTAACTTCAGACGTTTCTTTCAATTTGACCAATAGGGGGAGCCCTGAGTGCTTATGCCTGGCTTGTACAGTAGCCATCTTTTTAATATATGGAGTTTCTTCAGTCCTCAAGTAATTTTATATATTATATTTGAAATTTTATTTTATTTTTGTCTTTTTCAATTGCCTTTTTTTAGTTACAAGTTGTTTGTTTTTGTGTAATTTACCAGATCATATTGTCTTCATTAAACAGTATAAATCCTAAAAAGTGGTTAATTATTTTTGTCAGCGGTGAAAAACGTCAGAAATAAGTTTTCTAATCTGAGAAGAGCTGCACTCTGCACTGTTAGATGAGAGATGAGACGAGAACCTTTAGGTGTATTCTTTTTAATAGCCTTATTAAATTAAAGAAGTTGTCAGTAATATCTTCACCCAGGCTTACAAATCCAAAATTGGGTGAGAGAAAATACACAGACCGGATGAAAACCGGCAGGGTGTATAGTGCTCGCCTGTGAAACTACCTGGACTGGCCTGGTGATAAAAAATGTAGTGTTCGACTGCAGCGAGAGCATTTTAGATAGTACAGCATGTTAGAGCAGGGGAGAGCTGAGCAGACAAACAGACAGGCATTAACTTTCTTCACAGCTGAGTCCCACCCCAGACTGTTGAAGCCCCCAGATACCAACAGTACGCTCTGTTTTACATTCACCTCCATGTGCAGAGCGAAGCAGCAGAAACTCTCAGCCATATCAGATTTCTCACTTTTTCTATCTGCTTCTCTTCTCCAAACTTTTCTCTCTCATGCCCTCCCCTCCTCTGCGTTTCTCCACACTCTTAAGTTTCTCTACCCCCTCCCCACCCCCCAGCCTCCCTCCTCTCCTTGTCTGTGATCCTTTCTGTGGCTCTGCTGAGACTTCCTCTCTTCTGTAGTCTATTCTCTTTCAACTCCACATCTAATGTGTGTATGTAAACATGGTCCGGTGTAAACGGGCTGCACCACTTGGCCAGGTCTGAAGTTCAAACTGTTTTTTTTTTTTACTTTTCACTTTTTGACCGAGTGGGTCAAATTATCTGAGGGGGCAGTCATTTGAACCTTAACCAAGGTCTTTTGACTTGGTGGGATTTGTATGAAACCACTTGTATTTATTTGTATATTTGAGAGTGAAGCACCAATGTAACCTTCTTAAAGGCACTTTTAAGGGCACAACCAGTGTGGTGCACAGCCTTCCTGATGAGGATGAACTATAGCAGCAAATCCTTTTTTTGTCCACCACTGCATAAATACTGTCAGTTTTAAAACTTGCGTGCACTGCTGCTCTTGGAGTTACTGCACTTCATGTTGTGTTGCGTTGGAAACTCACTCATATGCTCGGATTAAAATTCTTTGTTCCAACTTTGGACTCTCGTCATTTTGAACGTGGCCAGGATGGATTCCAGTCATCTGTAAAACTTAGATTGTGGGGGAGACGTGTTTTGTTGTGGTTGTATTAAATAAATCCAATCTAATTATGGTGCAGGATTAAACGGACACATTTTTCAACAAGTAGAGAACCACAATCTAGTTTTACCCAATCAGAACAGAGCAGGACGGGTCGTGCTTTCTGATGTACAGTGAGCCCGGGTGTGAGCAGCGTTTCCAACTCAGAGAGACTGCAGGTGAAAACCAGTTGTTCTATAGTTCCTGTCCTGATCCAGCAATGGCTCAGCTGTGACCCTTCTTTGTCTCAAAGCACTCACAGGCGGTCGGGATCACAGAAATCCCAACTACACTCGGAGCAGTGTTGTTGTTGTTTTTATTGTGGCTGTTGTTGTTGCTCTTCTTCATGTCTGCAACAAGCTCCTCATGTACATATTTTATTTTAAGCTGGTCCTAATCACCCAAAAAAGTTCAATCTGGTCCTCTGGACATTCAGAGGACCAGATTGAACTTTTTTGGATTTTTCTACCTGGATTATTGAGCATGCATCAGGATGGTCCTAATCACCTTTTTTTTTTAACACTGTTGTGTTAATTTATTGTGTAAATAAAGTTTTGTTAAAAATCAAAAATGTTTTTCTTCTTTTTGTTTTTTGTTCTTTGTCATCTTCTTGTTCATCTTCTTCTTCTTGTTCCCCTTTTTGTTCTTCTTTTTTTGTTCTTCTTCTTGTCCTTCTTGTTCCTTTTTTTGTTCTTTTTTTGTTGTTCTTGTCCTTCTTCTTCTTCTTTCGGCTTTTCCTTCTTCAGAGGTCGCCACAGTGAGTCATCCTCCTCCATCTCACTCTGTCCTCTGCATCCTCTGTCTTCACTCCAACTACCTCCATGTCCTCTCTATCTGCATCCATTTATCTCCTCTTTGTCTTTTTCCTGGCAGCTGCATTTCTAACATCCTTCTACCAGTATACCCACTGTCCCTCCTCTGGACATGTCCAAACCAACTAAGTCTGGTCTCTCTAACTTTATCTCCCAGTTGTTCAACTTGTGTTAGACCTCGATGATCTCATTCTTAAACTTATTCATCCTTGTCACTCCTAAAGAGAACCTCAACATCTTCATTTCTGCCACTTCCAGTTCTTTCTCTTGTCTTTTTGTCAATGCCACTGTCTCCAGACCATACAACATAGCTGGTCTCACAAAGGTCTTGTAAATGTTTTCTGTATTTTTTTTTCCCCAAAAAACCTCACAAGGTTCTCTTTGTAAGATTGTAAGTTTCAGGTGTTTGCAGTTTATCATAAATATCTACAAAATTTAAAAAAACAACACTGCATTATGTTTACATAGAACCAGACAGAGAGGTAACTGTACTGTGATCAATATAATTCATTAAATATGAAAAATACATACTAAAGGACTAGATGAGCTGGAATTCTCTGAATATAATCCCTTTGAGTTAAATAGTCTTTAAGGGAGAAATCTTAAGAGTCTGTAAAAAAAAAAAAAAAAAGAAGCAATTTTAACTTGTTTTATACTGTGCAAAGGACTTTCTGTGCTGTATTTTTTAAAGTCTCCTGACAGTCTCCCAACTGAAGACACTGAAAGTTGTTTCCCTCTTCCTTCAAAATGTCATTGGTCTCAAGGATCTTAACCGTGCACAGTATACTCCTTTTATACAAAAACATTTGGGAAATGACCAATGTGCAGAAATAAGGTCTTAAGTGTGTGGCATTTGGAGGAGGGGGGTTGCTGATCTACACCTAAACTCTAGCTGTAGAAAAGAAAATCAGTCCAAAGGTTTTTGCTTGCTTTAATCCCTGCGTATGTTCATTTAGATTTTTACAGACGCTCCTGACCTGAGCCCTCTTTCACCTGTCGGACCAGTGTTTTCTGCCCCCACGAGGCAGTCCAAAAAACAGAGTCGCCAGAACCGGCCCCTAGCAGTCTACAATCCACAAGTCCTTGACATTCAGAATGGTAAGAGGTTTGCAAATCTGCACTTGTCTTTTCACATTTCCTGATTTTTTCAGAATAGTTCTGAAAAGCATTGGAGCGATCAACACATATTTATCATTTATAGAGGCCATGTGAAACCGGAAGCAACACATGAGTAATGTGCTTTAATGTCAATGCTGCATACAAATGAACAGAACTGGACTCTGCTTGTGTGTGTTGGTATCGGCGTGTGCGTTTCCCTTGCTTTTCCAGACAGCCGTTCATCCATTCTGCTTCACACTTGGCAAATGTAATACCAGGGTCCCAAAGAAGTGCTGTGTTGAGTGTGAGAGTTTGGATGAGTTGTTTTCATACTTTAGTTAAGAAAAGTATTCTGCAGCGCCTTCACGATGCCGAGTTCTCACTCTTCTCCAGCCCATTTGTCATCAGGGGGCATTAATGAAACTTGGACACACAAACTCTATTTAGTGAGCATATATTTTTAGTTGTTTATAAGTGTTTTAGCTTTGTTCTTGAGTTGAGTTTGATAATTCTTTTGGTTTATTTGACTTAAAAAATAGTCCAACATAAAAGTGGCATGAAATTTTCGCTTTAACACATTTTGGTAGTGGCATTGTTTGGAAAACTTATAGTATGACAACAGTTTTTTTTCTGTTCAGGGCTTTTTTAAATTTTACTAACATCATTCACTTAGACCTTGTAGATTTAGACTGTCAAGTAAAGTTTTCTTACGCATGTCTAAACAGATTCTAAGTGAGATTCAAGTCTGGACTCTGTGACGGTTGTGTGTTAAAGTAATGTCTAATGCTGGATAACCATCCATCCATCCATCCATTTTCTTTACCCGCTTATTCCATTTTGGGTCACGGGGGTCGCTGGTGCTCATGTCCAGCAATCACTGTGCGAGGGGCGGGGTACACCCTGGACGGGTCGCAAGTCCATCACAGGGCCACATAGAGACAAACGAGATAAACAACCATTCACTCTCTCACTCACACCTAGGGACAATTTAGAGTTACCAATCAGCCTAACATGCATGTTTTTGGACTGTGGGAGGAAACCGGAGTACCCGGAGAAAACCCACGCATGCACGGAGAGAACATGCAAACTCCACCCAGAAGGGCCCCTGGACCGGGGTTTGAACCAGGGACCTGCTCGCTGAGAGGCAGCAGCTCTACCAGTTGCGCCACCGTGCTGCCCTGCTGGATAACCATTCATTTATATTTTGAGCCCAGTTGTTCCTGGTATTGTCATCTAATATGAGATGTTTCATGAACAACCATCATATATAATCATTTAATTCATGAAAGCTGCTCACTGCATCAGTTAGGGCCAAGACTTGTTGCCAGTTGGAACACATTAACAGCAGTGTATTAGATGTAGGAGGTTATTGCCTGTTTGCTTTATTAAATGCAAATTTCTTCTTCCTTTATTCCTTAGTTTTTATCCATCCATTATCTTTTACCCGCTTCTTTCTTTTTGGGTCGCGGGGGTCACTGGTGCTTATGTCTGCCATCACTGCGCAAGAGATGGGGTTCACCCTGGACAGGTCTCCAGTCCATCACAGGGACACATGGAAAAAAAAGAGACAAACAACCATTCACTCTCTCACTCACACCTAGAGACAATTTAGAGTTACCAATCAGTCTAACATACGTTTTTGGTCTGTGGGAGGAAACCAGAGTACCCAGAGAAAACCCATGGATGCATGGAAAATAGGGATGCACCGATCCACTTGTTTCACTTCCGATACCAATGCCAACACCTGTGAGGTTTGGTATCGGAATATTTCGACTCGATACCGATCAGATACTTTAAAAACTGATCTAATTAACTGAAAATATTTGTTTTTTAAATGACATAAATGTGCTGAATTACAAATTTATTGAAAACTGCACCAGTGCAGCACATTTAAACACACCAGTATCTTAACAAGCTTGGTCAAACATGTAAAAACAAAACAACTTTAATTTGTTCAGTCAGTGCAATTATGAGTCTAACATCCAATGTAAAATAAATAGTAGTAAAGATACTGAAACTGACAAAAACAATAGGTTGACAACTTAGGTTAAACATGAAAAATAAACCTCAACAAACCTTTCAAATGTTCAGGAATTCTAAATATAATGTAAAATAAATACTAAAGGAGCTGAAAGAAGAGGAAAAAACAATAGTTTCACTAGCTTGGTTGGCAGATATTTAAAATAAACAGTAATCAGCTCCTGTTCTTAAGGATCAGTGATATTGTCACGATACCCAATCAAGAAATTTTCTATACCTGCACCAATACCGATACTAATATCAGATTGGTGCATCTCTACCGAAAACCGATCCAGAAATTTTTCCCGATATCTGTACTGATACCAATATTAATATTGGATCGGTGCATAGAACGTGCAAACTCCAGCCAGGATTTGAACCAGGGCGACTTGCTCGCTGAGAGGCAACAGCTCTACCAACTGTGCTGCCCTAAATACTTATCAATTAAGTTAATTTGTTTAATTTAACTAATACTTACAGTTCATGTAGTGTTGATTCCATTAGGCTAACATTGAACAATAAAATGTTAGAAATATAAACATTTCCATTACTTTACATGTTTTTGATATGTTTATTACTAAGATTAGTTTTTCCATAAATAGGAGGTAGTAGGGGTTGCACGACTACATATTTTTAAAAGTCGACTTCAATATGATAAAAGTCGCGTCAACGTCGACTAGTGGCTGTGACGTCATAGGAACTCAAGACGCTATATCATATTCACAAAAAAAGTCATTTATTATTTACAATAAAAAAAAGAGCAACAGAACATTGGGAGCGTATATTTATGCTCCTACCATTTATCATACTGCAAATAAGCAACAGGAAAACTCTTATTAAGCTGCAAAAGTCAAAGAAATGTGTGGCACCTAAAAAACAAAACTAAAAACAGCGGAGCAGGTGGTTGAACCAGAAGAGCCATCTTTAGTGAAATACTTCCACACTGTTGATGAATTTCTACCTGTTTGGCAAGACTTGACCTGCGACTGACCTTCCATCTGCTTGGAAGAATCCATTTTGTCGCCAGTGCCCGGCGCTCATCACGTGACTGCGGCTAGTCGACGTGAAATTTAAAAACTTGCGAGAAGTCCTGGAATTGACTAGTCGACTGGTCAGTTCAACCCTAGAAGGTAGTAGTCAGCAGTAGGACTCAGCAGTCCAGTATTTGGCTGCTACCTTCACTTAACACAGTCTGCATCAGACAGCATTAACGTTTTATTCTATCAATCACAGAAAATGTCTTTTCAGTCTTAAAAATAATTTTAAAAAGCACTTTACTAATTTTTAATGCTAAAATGACTTTATGTTTCAGAAATAAACAAGTTTTTTAATGATCCTGATTCATGCTCAATAATCCAGGTAGAAAAATCCAACAAAAAGAAACTGTCCAAAGACCTGACATAACTTTGTCGGACGATTTTTTTAAGGTCAACATAAACTGTTCATTTTATCTTGTTCATGATGAAACTTAGGAGACTATTCAGTTTAAGATATATAAAGTATTTCCAATGTTCACAGTTAACTCTGTCTGTGGTTGTCTTAACTTGGTGTGCTAAACAAACTGGCAACATGGTGCATTTCTCTCAACCTCGCTGAGCTTTAACTCATTCATTTTGTTGGTTCTGTGGTTACTACTGCGACTCTTAACTGTCTAAGCATGACACACTGAATGCTGTTACCTCCTCTCTGTAATAACGTGTAAACAGGTTTACATCTTTGACCTTTATGTGCCCTTGTGCACTTGTGTTTCCTCTTGAATTTAATAAAAATGGGATGCTATATAACGGTCCCATTGTAATTCATCAGGAGAGCAGATCACTTGGCTTGCTTACCTAAAATTTAAACAGAGACATACTTTTGCATTAATTCTAGGCAAATAAACAAGTATATATAAATATATAATTTATACAAATAAACCTCTTTTATTGTAGTAAATGTAGTATAGTTTGATTTCAAGACGTAAGGTGCAAAAAGGGCGAGTTTACCAGAGCTCCTGCTGCCTCTCTGCTAGCAGGAGTTTGGTCATGCATGCAAGTCAGACTTTATTTAGTTCTTTTTATTTAACCTTTATTTATACAGGAAGTCTCATTGAGTCACGCGGACTCGTTTTCAAGAGGGGGCTAAGGACCTTTCTCAGGGGCCCAAAGTGGGACAAATGAGGGTAGAGGCAGGTGTGGGTGTTTTACCTTTTCCACCCATATTTTTTTAATGTTGTCGGTCTGGGGAGTTGAACTGGCAACCATCCGATCACAGGCCCACCTTCTCTAACCTCTGCGCCACCACTCCCCTCCATTTAAGACTTGACTGTATGCTAATGATGTTGCTCCATTTGTTTTAACGTTACAGATACAAAAGTTAAACTTCAGATACAAACGCCCCGGGAGGAGGGGGAGATGATGTTTTAACTTTGGTGACTCCCCCGCTGCACATAATTGGTCACGTGTGATAATGCACAGATGTATATTAATGATCTTTATGGAAGGGGGGTGCACCCTTTTTGTATAATGGTAGGGAACACGCTGGTTCCTCCTTGCTGAACTTATCACTTAAATTAAAGGCTGAACATAATGACAATGTGCCAGACCTTTAGAGTTCCTGGTATCTTTCCATTAAGATAAAAAAGTGATGTGATAAAGTTTAGTTAACAAATTACTTTGTTTATAAAGCCTGTGATATTATAGTTTTACGAACAGTTAATGTAAAAAATGTTAATATTACATTTGTTAATAATTAGGCTACATGCTAACTCCGTTCAGAGTGAATAATAGAATTGTGCCGCTCAAGGTGGCTGCATGTTGGAGTAGCTCTCTAACATTCATTCTGAGATGTTGTTTTGGAAAACTTTAATCTCTTTTTCTTTCTGGATGTAAATGGCTTTTTTTGGATGATTACTTCCTCTAGTATCAGATGGAAGGATTTTACTGAAAACTTTTCTACTATTGGACATTTGTTTTGATGTGTAACCATAATAACAAGGTGGTATTTTACAACCGGGAGCAGCGAATTAACATCTCAAAAGCTCAAAAAAATACCTCAACTACAGCCCTAAATCTCAAATGAGTTGAAAAGGAGGTGCCGTGGATGCATTCCTGTCTACCTGGAGGCGGTGCTGGAGTGCCTGAGTGCCGAGATCTTGGAAGTAGCGGGAAACACGGCTCGTGACAACGGGAGGTTTGAGATCCTCCCCTGGCACCTGCAGTTAAGTCCACGGCGACGAGGGGCTCAGCAGGCTGCTGCGAGAAATGGCCATCGCTCGGGGAGGAGTTCTGCCCTGCATTCAGGCAGTCCTGCTGCCCAAGCGGACCGAGAGGTCTGCTGGGTCTGGGTGGACAGATGGGCATCTGTAGCCAGTTTCTTCGGATCCATTGTGGGACAGACCACTACAAAAGATCCCTCCTGCCCACAGCCATCAGCATCTATAAAAACTCTTAATGAAATCAGATCATGAGTTACAACAACAATTAATTTCCCTTTGGAATTAATAAAGTATTTTTGAATTGAATTGAATTGAATAAAATGCAATATTATGATGTCAGTATTTTGATGTCTTTGTATTTGATAGACATTGTGTTATCATTACATTTTTTTTAACAGACATTACATTTTTTAGCCTTTATGTGTCTATTTACTAAACAATAAGCTTAAATACAAGAAGCTGGATCTCCCAAGTGTCTCTTAGCCTTTGTCTGTATTATCAGGAACAGTACAAACTAATTTGTAAGTATCGCTTGCTTTAACTGATACTTGTATTAATAAGGTCTCCAATGATGCCCTATGTTGATGAACATTTTATCAGGCAAGCTATCATCAGGGAGCTTATAAAATTATGTAAATTATAAATCTTCTCCTTCGTTGTGTGTCAGCAATAGTAGATGGCTCTAACCTAATGGCAGATGAGACGTCAATGGGCAGCAACGAGTCGGTTTCATCGCAGTCATCGTCAGCCTCAGCCTCAGAGCTGCCTGCAGAGAAGGATGACCTCACCACGCTTACCGCCAGCTTCAGCTCAGGCAGCAACTCCCGGTGAGTGCTTCTACATGCTTTTATTGTGAAACAATTTTAAGAGTAGAAAACAGTGAAACAGTCTAGGAAACAGTCTTAAATTATGACGTAGACTAAAACACAAAATTATTTTATGACTGTGATCACTAAAATTGATGTTTGTTAGTAGTAGACTTTTTGATGAGGCCAGAAAATGCATATGTCCACGTCTATAAAATAATTAAAGAATATATTCATCCATCCATCCATTATCTTTTACCCGCTTCTTTCTTTTTGGGTCGTGGAGGTCAGTGGTGCCCATATCCAGCTGTCAGTGTACGAGAGGTGGGGGACACCCTGGACAGGTCTCCAGACCATCACAGGGACACATAGAGACAAACAACCATTCACTCTCTCACTCACATCTAGGGACAATTTAGAGTTACCAATCAGTGTAACATTTGTGTTTTTGGTCTGTGGGAGGAAACTAGAGTACCTGTAGAAAACCCACTCATACACGGAGAGAACATGCAAACTCCACCCAGAAAGTTCCCCGGTCAGGATTTGAACCAACAACCTTCTCGTTGAGAGGCAGCAGCTCTACTAGCTGACACACTGTGACACTCTAAACAATATATAATTAAGTAAATTTTTTAATTGCTTTTACATTACTGTTGAAAGAATAAAGCTTTATTATTATAATATAATAATAATAATAATAAGTAAAATAGTTATTATACTAATAGAAAGTTTGGGTGTTTATGTTTTATACAACAGAATTTTGATTGATTTTGATTTTTTGTTGTTATCAAACAGATCAGTGAGACTGGCATGCTTCCTGTTAAGACCACATATTAACCAACGGTCACAAATTTTAAAGATGCAACCTTGTGTCTATAAACTTATCACAAATATCATCTGTGCTTTAATTTATGGAGTAACTACATGTAAAACTGCATGCAAGAACAAATTTATAGATTAAATGTACAGAATAAAAAAATATAAGAATAGTATGGTGTGATTTTCAATATTTAAAAAAAAACAAAAAAAAACTGTAAATATAAATGTGAGAAAATATAAGAACACACAGCCCAACTTGATGGACTCTCAAACATAAAGTAACAAACCAGAAATGTCAAGTGTTTTTTGTTTGTTTACTCTTTTTAACATTTAGACATTTTAGGACTTTAAACACATTTAGTCAGTAGATTTTAAACCTCTTGGTAAAATGTTTAAAATAGTTTTGGCATATTAATAACAATAAGGTGTTTTTCGGGTTAACCTAGTCACTTTATATCAGGGCTATACAACTGACGGCCCACGGGTGACTTAAGTCCAGACCAGCAATGGGGGATTTTTATTTTTTTTTTTTAGGGGGGGGGGTGGGGGGGGGTGGTCTGGGTTTTGGGTTCTGTTTATTGTATTTATGATTCAGTGCAATAAATCAAACAAATTTAAAAGGTAACAGGTCGTTGTAATACTTGGTTTATTTACATAATGACTTTTAATCACTGGATGTCCAGCCCCTGAGCTTCTGGCTTGAGCAGTTTAGTTGAATAGCTCTGTTTTATAGTATTTTTACAAATAAATTTCTTATCAAAACCATTAAGTGTTATAATTCAGTGGCCTTTGCATCCTGGTGCAGAGACTATAAGAATAAGATGCCATTTCCAGATTATTGTATCAAAATTTAGTCTGGTGAATCTAAAGACTAAAATTAACTAAAATTAAAATGTTTCCATCTATTTAGTTTTATTTTAGAGTGATATTGAAAGATGCACTAAAATTAAAAGTAAGTTTTATAGTCCTAGTAGTGTTACCGAGTAGAACCACGGTACAATGAGATTTGTAATTTGTCATTTTTTAAGGGATTTTTTATTAATTTTTTTGGTGGGGGTGGGGTCAAGTGACAAACATTGTTTTTCTTTAATATTCTGAAATAATAAACATTACATGACTTACATTAACTTACATTATTAATATAATGGTAACAGTTTTGCCTAAGATCATGTCAAAACTGTTAGAAATTATGCTTTTATTGTTTCTGGCCTGACAAAGTGATGGAGACTTGCTTGACTTAAAATTTTTGTTCATTATTGAAGCTGAATATAATTAATGGTAAACATAAATTTCAAGATAAACCTGAAAAAAGGTACTTGTGCCAGATAAAATAACTTCCCTGTGGATTTTTAAACAGGAAATACTGAACACATCTGACTTCATTCATCAAAATCATCTGTTGAACTTTTCTGTTTGCCATAACAGTTACCTCTTTGCCACTCTGATAAAACACATTTTTGTTAAGCAAATCTAATCATACTTCAGTGGACAAACTCAGCTTTAGAATAAAATTAGTTCATAAATCATTTGTAGTTCTCCACTTGCCATAAAACAAATCTTTTATTGGGCAAATGTTTGGCATGCGTCTCTCTAGTCTCTCCTCTATCGTCTGTCCCTCAAAGTCCTTGAGTCTTTTTTTGTTTCCAACAACTTGCTTTGAATGCTGATGTGACAGATGAATTATTGTGTTACGCTGCAGATGTTAGACTCACTGCTGTGTCATGTCTACAAATTCACCTTGAGATAGACCGTCTATTCACCACCTCATTCTTCTTCTCCGTTTGCTTGGAAAAATGTTATGAAATTAAAATAAACTCCCCTCAGGGCTTGATGGGACAGGATGATTCCTTTGCTGTACGACCTTTGTTGATGCATGTCTGCTTATGGAGCTGATGTGGCTGAGTGGTTAGAGCAGTTGTCTTCCAGTGCAAGAGATGGGGGTTCAATTCCACCAGCAGTCACATGCCGAAGTGTCCCTGGGCAAGACACTGAACCCCTCATTGCCTGTGTGTCCCATCGGTGTATGAATGTGTAAAGCTCTGATTAGTCTTTGTATAGATCTAGTAGAGTGATGTATGAATGGGTAAATGAGGGCACAGATTGTAGTGTAAAGCGCTTTGAGTATCTTGATAAGATAGAAAGGAGCTATATAAGTACAGTCCATTTACCATTTATGTGTAGGCATTTGAACCTATAGAAATAAACAGACAGGACGTTATACATTGTGTAACCTACTGTTTCCAGGGTATTTGTTGTGTTCCTGCTGTGGGTAAATAACATGAAAAGACTTGGTCTTTCATTTTAAAAACTAGCAAAAACCTGGGTTTGTTCAAGAGACGCAGAATGTGGATCAGCCAAACGGCATCGGATTCCAAAAAGAAGCCCCCTTCACAAATTTTCACAAAGCTTTCATGCTGTTCTTATCTCTTGTGTGTAACAGCGCTCACTTGTCACTCATACGCTCAGTCAGAGAGGATGTGCTGGGTCAAGGCCCCAACCCAGACTTCATGGCATCTTTGTTTCTGTCTATGTAGGTTCACCGATAACATGTCATGTCTTGTTACACTGCCTGATAAACAAAATTCAACTTCACTCCCATATATTGTTGCTCCCACATATGTGGTGTCACGTTGGAGGACAGAAGAAGTGACCAGGAGGAGGTCGTAAATCTCAGCGCTTATTTGTTTGGAAGACAGGTGGCCGTGCGTTGGCCGTGTAAATCGTATTGACATTGGAGCAAAATTCATCTTGTTTACCCTTATAGCGGCAGCCTCTGTCCCTTTATGAAGACGTGCGCCATATGTCACAGGGTGTCGTCCTGGCTTTGGTCACTCATAAATCTGTGCATGTGAGATGGTAGAGACCTGTTAATGCAGCACCTCTCTGGCTTTGAACCCAGGGATTCGGCTCCAGTCCGAGCCAAAAGGAGCAGAAATCGCGATTGTTAAATTACTTCCAGCCAGTTTCTGACATGTTATATCTGTACTCGGCTGTGTTCCAAATATGCACCTGGACAAAAGTATAGTTTTGTCAGTTTTCTGCTAAATCTGCACGGTCATACACAAATGCACCCTGACTTGCAATATCCCCGAAAAGGTTTGCGTAAACAGTGACATGATTTATCTCCTCTGTGATTTTCAGTGATTCTCCTCATTTCTCCTCCTCATATTCAGTTAATTAAGCCACATCTTTTCCAGGTATCTATGTTCCCCCAAGTTCTTCATTATTACCTATTCTGACCTTTTTTTTCTCTTGTATACTTTCTTACCTCTAGCTCTCCAAGTCTCTAATAGGAAACAGCTGTGGCTCATAAAATTGTATTGAGCTGATTTCCTGCCCACCCAAACTGGCAGCTTGGCTATAGGTTTGATCCTACTTTCCACAAGAATCAGGGTCTAAATCCAACCACTGCCCATCTTCCTTTAGTATAAAGAAGATAGCTCCTCTCATCCTCAAGTCAGATCCTTCACAGGATCAACGAGACTTTGACACTTGAGAGAGAAATTCCTGCAGTAATGAGAAACAGCCGTTTACTTGTGTAGATGAATTCCTGTTTCTATTAACCTGATGGTGTGAGATAACCCTTATGTTTACATGATGAAGCTGGACTTTCCTTCTGTGTTATTGTTTAATTTTGAAGGTATATTATGTAAAGCTTCTTTCAGACACACCTGTTAAAAAAAGCAATATTTGTGGAAAATTGTGATAAATAATATCATAATTTGGATAATCTTTACCTTGGATACACTAGTATTTTTTGTTATAATTACAGGAAAAGCTTAGCTATTCCTGTGATAGGCACACAAAAAAGCCATTTAAAACTTTTTTCCCCTTTGAGACAATTTACTTTATTTTCACTTTCCAGTAATTTTGAAAGCAATTTTAGAATGAATCCATTTACACTACTGCTTACCCAGATGTGACCCTTTGATTTGTTTTGCTTTGACTATAGTTATTCTAATAACAATTTAATAACCTTTTTCCTTAAGGCTCTCCTTAATTTCATCTCAGCATCCTTAAAAAAAAAAAAAAGTTGTCAGTTATTAACATTATTGTTCATCTGTTATTAGGGATGCACAATATTATCAGCATGGTATCGGTACCGGCTGATATTAGTGATAAGGTTAAATATCGGACATGGGCCATTCCCTCAAAATACCTCACGGACATAAAATGTGCTGTTATCTATCTATATCTATATC